CGGGCTTTGGGGTCTCTGTAACAGGCCCCAGGGTCTCTGTAACAGGCCCTGGGGTCTCTGTAACAGCCTCCGGGGTCTCTGTAACAGGCTCCAGGGTCTCTGTAACAGGCCCTGGGGTCTCTGTAACAGACTCCGGGGCCTCTGTAACAGGCTCCAGGGTCTCTGTAACGGGCTCCAGGATTTCTGTAACAGGCTCCAGGGTCTCGTTTACGGGCTGTGGGGTCTCTGTAACAGGCTCCAGGGTCTCTGTAACGGGCTCCAGGATTTCTGTAACGGGCTCTGGGGTCTCTGTAACGGGCTCCAGGGTTTCTGTAACAGATTCCGGGGTCTCTGTAACGGGCTCTGGGGTCTCTATAACGGTCCCTGGGGTCTCTGTAACGGGCCCCAGGGTCTCTGTAACAGGCCCTGGGGTCTCTATAACGGTCCCTGGGGTCTCTGTAACGGGCCCCGGGGTCTCTGTAACAGGCCCTGGGGTCTCTATAACGGTCCCCGGGGTCTCTGTAACAGGTCCCGGGGTCTCTGTAACGGGCCCCGGGGTCTCTGTAACGGGCCCTGGGATCTCTGTAACGGGCCCTGGGGTCTCTCTAACGGGCTCTGGGGTCTCTGTAATGGGCCCTGGGGTCTCTGTAACGGGCTCTGGGGTCTCTGTAATGGGCTCTGGGGTCTCTGTAATGGGCTCCGGGGTCTCTCTAACAGGCTCCGGGGTCTCGGTTACAGGCCACCACCACTGTCACAATTTCAACCTCCGTGTCCCAGCTGGAGCCTTGGGCCTGGGGATGTGGAGGTTCTGTACCTGCTGTTCCTTATCTGACACGCGTCCAGACGCTGCTACTGGTCATTGGGGTCCTCTGCCAACCCTCTCGCTGACACTACTGCTCCTTCAGTCACCTGGGCCTAGCCCCAGACCTGGGACCTCAGCTCAGCCTGCAAGTTTGGGCCAGGGGAATCAGCCCAGGGCCTACACTCGTTCAACAGGAGACCCTGCCATCACTCACTGTCTCATTGCACTATGGAGAATGGGCACATAGAGCAGGACTGATTCATCGTCTCCACAAGAGCAGGAGAGGGGGAGAAAAAACAGAAAAGAAATATTTGACAGGCATTGACGTTGAGAGCTTAGATCAGTTGGTTTTGTTCCATAAGTTCCTGTCTGGACCGTATCCAGCTTATTCATTTAATCGGAATGCTCTATTCAGTCTGTTGCATGAGCAGAGAACAAAAACATCCTTCCCATTCCCTCGATAGTCAAGAAGGCAAACGTGCTTCTTGTGACCTTTGTTTGAACCCACTATGTTCAGAGCCAGTTGGGCAACCAAAACAGCCATAGCTCAGTAGAGAGTTGTCACGTAAGCCAGATCATTGAGGACCTCACCACGGGAACACACTCCCCATTTTGTGGCAACATCAGCATTGTCTATAACAGGGTAAACAATTTCTTCTTGTTGCTCTGTTGGTCAACCATCGGTGTGTGCCTTTCGATATTCTCTAGTTCTCCCGCTATCTCCCAGGGACCACTGTCATTTCCCAGGTTCATAGGAGCAGTGTGTCTGACACTGGACCCCAGCAAAGTCAGATTCCTGATTGGAGGGGAATCAAGAGTCATGGGGAAAAGGCAGGAAAAGGGACGTGAGGATTGTCGGATCAGCTGTGATCCTATTGGATGACAGAACAGGCTCAAGGGGCTAAACTTGAGCCGTACTAAATCTAAACAAAGGAAACTTACCCAGGTACGAGTGGTGAGTTGGGTTTGATAGACTGAGTAACCTCATTAAAAGGCATGATAGTGGATAGACAAGGTTAATATTTAAGGAATGAATGAATGCATGCATTGCAACTGTTATACATTTGTTTTGGATGAAAGAGCACAGTGGCTCAATCATAGTTAACAGAAGAAGGTGTACAAAATGATCAGAGGTATTGATAGAGTGGACAGCCAGAAACTTTTTCCTAGGGTGGAGGTAACTATTAAGAGGAGGCATAGTTTTAAAGTGAGCGGAGGTAGATATAGGGGAGACGTCAGAGGTAGGTTCTTTACTCAGAGAGTGGTTGGGGCGTGGAATGTATTGCCGGAGAGGGTAGTGGAGTCGGCCTCATTAGGGCCATTTAAGCGGCTATTACATAGGCATATGGATGATAGTATAAGGTAGGGGTGGAGGTTAGATAGACCTTAGGTTTAGGGTAAAAGTTCGGCACAACATCGTGGGCTGAAGGGCCAGTACTGTGCTGTACTGTTCTATGTTCTATGTTCTATGATCGTACTTCTTATGGTTTTAAAGTCCTGTATGTTCACATACTTCACAATCTGATGATATTGAGCATCAGGCCAGACTTCTGTCTGGCAAAGTTACATTCCTGAACACACGCACTAACCTGAGTTATATTTTCGAACATTTCTTGTACTTTTTTGCCATGATAGAGCACATTTATTTTATTAGCAAATTTATGGGCAGTTATTTTAACAGTTTTTTTTTCTGATAGCCATCATATGCCTTACAGTGAAACGATTTGGATAATCTGCCCCCAACAGTTCACTTCCATCGCTTGTCACAAGGACTCAGCAATAGTGCACTGAGAGGTGAATATAAGGGCAGGAGGAAATTTAAAAGATTGGCCAGCCACTGATTGGATGGGATGAGAAATCCCACCTCGGAGAATTGACCCTGGGAAAGTGGAAACGTTTCAGGAATGTGCAGAACGCGGTCATTTCGATTGTGCTTAAAACCGTAACGTGTGCATAAGACCATAAGAAATAGAAATGGGAGTGGGCCATTCAGCCCCTCAAGCCTGCTCCACCATTGAATGTGATCATGGTTAATCAAACATTCCTCATGTCCATGTTCCTGTGTTTTTCCCCATAGCCCATATTGATCACGAATCTGTTTATCTCAGCCTTAAATGTACATGTGCATGGGGGTAGCATGTTGGTAATTTCACTGGATTAGCCATCCAGAGGCCCTGGGCTGATGCTCTGGGGAAACTATCATTGATTGATCAACACAGATTATCATTGACACCCATCCAGTTCACAGGTTTCCTTTAGGGAAGGAAATCTGCAAAACTCACCTGGTTTGTCCTACATATGACTCCAGACCGACAACTAAATGGTTGACTCTTGACAGTCCTCTGAAATTGCTGAGCAAACCACTTATTTCAAAGGAAAGTGGGGGACGGCCCACAAGCCTTGGTCTTGCTAGAGGTAACCACATCCCATTAAAGAGACATGACCCACCCTGTGCCATTTCCTGCTGAGACGGGGTTTCTCTGATGCAGCAGAGTTCAGTCCAGGACTGGCAAGATGTCCATATTGGGAGAAATTAGGATCACAGGAGAATGTGAAATGATTATAACATTTCATTTTCCATGTCCCTCAGCAAATTTCCCGAAAGTGACGTCATACAATCACCCCAAAGTTTGCAAGATAGCTGTTTGAAGTGACACAGATATTGTTCCGTGCTGTGTGTGTTTTGTTAACAGCTGCTAATGAGGAGTAGGTGTCCTGGAAGTCTAGGAAACATGATAAGACAAAAAGATTGAGGAGAAAGTGTAGGACAGGATTCAAAAATCTTCAGCCAGGTGCTCTGAGTGATGCAGTTGCTGCAGGGTGGTCTAGAACTTATTTTGGCCACAAAAGCCATCTCCATGAAGTCAGGGCCAGTGATACAAACTGGACACAGCTGCAGGTTGACATTCCATCTTCTCCCTTCTGCTATTGGGACAACCTGTGTGAGTGACTGCACTGGGGCGCACGCTAAAATGTGTAACATTTGTCAGATTTTGAAATACTGCCAAACTTTTTACAGCTGCTGTTCTGCCAATTCGCCCTTTGACCTTTCCAGAGAAATAGCTCACTTTTTTTTAGCAAATTGGCTTTCGTAGACCCTGGCATGCTTATCAACTCAACATCAAGAATTAGCTTGAAATATTTTAAGATTCATAATTATTTGTTTGAAAGCATGAACATCATTGCAATTGGGGATGGACCTTAATTTAAAAAAGCATTGTCAATCTGTTGTAGATTTCTGATCTGTTATGTAATTTGTTATGTTCACTCAGATGTTAGTGCTCAGGAATTCTTCCCTTATCCAGCGTTTCCAGGCAAGATTTGGCATAGGTTAGATCCAGAAGAGGACCTTGTATTTAGTCAAGTTCAAGCTTTAGTCTAGTTTAGTGCAATGATATATCAGTTTCTGTTTCGCGCACCAGCTCCTCTATGGGCTGAGATTAACAGTTTCAGACAGTTTTGCATCATAAGACTCTCACCCCATTTGGACTTGGCTTAAGACAGTGTGGCATGGTGGCTCAGTGGTTAGCACTGCTGCCTCTCAGCACCAGGGGCCTGGGTTCGGTCCCACCCTCAGGCAACTGTCTGTGCGGGGTTTGCACATTCTCCCTGTGTCTGTGTGGGTTTCCTCTGGGTGCTCTGGTTTCCTCCCACAGTCCAAATATGTGCAGACTAGGTGGGTTTATAGGGGAAAGGGTCTGGGTGGGATGCTCTGAGGGTTGGTGTGAGTTTGTTGGGCCAAAGAGCCTGTTTCCACACTGTTGGGATTCTATGATGCTTTTATGGATTCAATGGTTATGCGACCAACAAGAGGAAATGTCCATTGCCTGCTGTTGGATGGGATTCAACCTCAATCTGCAGAGGTGACAGGACTCACTGCTAATCCACTCAATGCCCAGTTGTTCTGATGCATCTGTACCCAGTTGAGAGTTATGATGCAGACCATAAACAAGGCAAGAATGCAGCGAAGTTTCTCCACAGTAGCAATTGTGTTGCAGCTCTCTCGCATAAGGTTAACACAGAGAGCTCAAGCTTTTGGGAGGCACGGAGACAGAAGAAGTGAACGTAATGGGAATAACCAAAATAAATCCACTTGGAAATTAATTCATTAAGGGTTGTCTAACCTGATCAGTTAAAGTAGTGACCCGCAGTTGTAACTGGTGAAGAAGTCAATTCTGTGGTATTTATCTTCTTACGAAAGCCAAAACATAAAGGCTTTCAGAATCCTGCGTTCAGTTACCGAGAGTAATGTGCTCTTATCCAGGTCACAATAATTGGGTACACACTCGGAATTCCGGATGTTATAATGGGAATCACCTTCCTGGCAGCTGGGACAAGCGTACCGGATTGCATGGCCAGCCTTATAGTTGCCCGGCAAGGTAAGTAGAGCGATCAGTGCTAAGAGCAATATATTGCCATTTGGTAGTTGATTTAAATGTTCAAGCCTGAATTCAGCTTTTAGTACAGTAAGTCTGCTTATCTTGTGTATAATTTGGTAGAATCGGAGAGTTAATTCTCCATCCGCAAATTCCATGGTGCAGACCTTTTAGTATGTTGCAATGTTTCTTTTTCTTGCGTTTGTTTATTCATGCTGATCAAATTAAGGAATATCCTGCAGGGAGGATGGAACGTTTCTAATCCCCAAAGCCAGACTCAAGTTCCCTCCAGCACGGTCTGGTTGTGGGTCTGATGCAAACCAATGCTCTTCGTTTCCATCTCAACAAAACCCTTCAACACCAACCACACACGGAAGACAACCCACTGTCTTGCTACTATCAGTTTTCACTGAATTATCGCTCATCCTGATCATCTAGCCCACAGAATCCACCCAATTCGATTCCATTTGTGTGAATATTTGGCATTCGTCGCTGTACCCTATCTAATTTTTGGGTACTCTTGAAAGAGTAAATCTTGGAGCTCTTGCCATGTTGCAGGATCGTTCTAAATCAAAACACTGAGACCAGTCTGTATCCAAAGCCAGGGTGTATGCAGACCATACCAAGCCCATGGCCATAGCGTGTGGCTTTGTGTGATTTATACTTTGAACATTGGCACCAAGGCTAGTTCAAATGCCCTTAAATAGTCCCCTAAGACAGAAAGATGAAATAAAAAATTCTCGGCACTGGCAAAAGCAAATGGGAAAAGCAGATTCAAATATAATCCAAACAAGTTTCTCCAATACCAGATATCAAAAGGATCATCAGGGAAATCCTCACACTTTGGGTTGGCTATATTCTTTGCTCATGTCGATGTGTGTTGTTCCATCTTTCAAATCTATCCATACCATGAGGTATCTCCCTTATCTCTCTAGTGTCCATGCCAGCTATCTTCCACTTTTTGTTGGTAACCCAATGCCTTTTTCTATTCAACCTTATTCCAACCCTGGCATTAGTCCTTTATAGAAATTTTGTAAACTTCAGCCAGAGGAGATTTCAGAAGCATCTTGAAGAGAAATTCAGTGTCCAAGAAGCACTGCAAAGGCTAACATGAAAACTCCAGATATATAAACATAATTGTATGAGAGTGACCATGCAATAGTTATTTTGCTCAATAGCTAGTTCTTATAGATTTAAGCAGAAGAGACATGAACAATATACCATGCAATGAGAGTTTTGCATTTTTATACCACCGTTAACATGTGAAATAAATCAGAAAAATCACTGCGCAGGAATGTTATGAAAGAACAGGTTATAGATATTCCAAAGCTAAATGTGTTAGCAGGGCTAACTGAACACTTAATCAAACAGGGTTTTAAAGTGGGTCTTTGAGAGATAATGAAGAAGTGGGTAATCCAATAGTCTAGGACCAAGATGGGCTGAAGAGATGAAATACATGGAGAATATACAATATGCCAATGTTAGAGGTTTGCAGAGGTTGTTTGGCATTGGAGAAGGATCAAGCATGGGGAGGTGCAAAGCCTGTAAGAAACTTAAACAGGGGAGTGAGAATTTTAAATGTGAAACAGTAGCCAGCATAAGTCAGTAAGCATAAAGGTGATAAATGAGTGGGATGTGGTTCAGAGTGATTGAGATGAGCTAAGGTACACAGAGGTTGGAGGATGTCCAGGAATAGTAAGGCCAAGAAGAGACAAATGTGGATGAGGTATTCATTAGTAGACAGGCTGAGGAGGTGGAAGTATGCAGGTTTCACCATAGGGAGGAAATACTGTCACAAGTTCAGCTTGGGTGTGTCAGATAGAATACTGTGGTTGCAAGCTGCCTGGTTCAGCCTGAAACAATGGACAAGCTGGGGATTAAAACTGCAGATGACAGTGCAGATTGAAGGGGTGGCATTCCCTGATTTTTAGACTGTATGTGTGTCAGGCCTGGGCCTTTAAAGCAGGAGGGAGCAGGTGGGGTTTCCTCACACGTCTGTTCTCTTCTCAGCTCATTATATATTTGGGTGCAGACAAGGCGCCATATTCCAAAGGCAAGGCGGGAAGCAAGTTCTGCCCCCACCAGAATCTTCCAGGTTCCAGTCATCCGTGCGCCATTTTTGAAAAGTGGTCTCGATGAAAATTCGGTCGTTGTATCTGGTTGAGGGCTTTGAGTAGATGGAAGTCAAAGGGCCCAAGCATAGATCCTTCAGCAGACTGAGACATAATGGTACAGAAGTGAGAAGGGAAGCCAATGCTGGGAGATGTTCAGGCGACGTTCTAATAAGTAGGACTGGAATGAAGCTAAGGCAGTCCCACTGGTTTGCAGAGCAAGGAAGAGGCATCAGATTGACTTTGCCGAAGGCCACAGTAAGGTTGCTAAGGATGAGGAAGAAGACCATACCAAGCCCATGGCCATAAAGTGTGGCTTTGTGTGATTTTGACATGGGTTCTATAAGTGCTGTCACTGAAGTGGAAACATGATTGGAGGAATTCAAATATGGAATTGGGGTAAGTGATCCGCATTGGTTTGGGAACACTCGAGGACTTTGGAGAAGATGTCAAGAGCGAAGATTGGACACTAGTTTGCAATGGCAGAACAGCCAGGAATGCTTTCAGAAAGAGCAGGGAATGATGGTGATTTTGAAATGGAGAGGACAGTATCTGAGTAAAGTGAACCGTTTACCATATTGGCTAAAGAGGGTCCAGAACTGGATCTTGAAATGTCAGTAGAAAATGGGGTCAAGGAAGAGGGAGGTGGATCTCTTGGCAAAGCTGAGCTTGGAGACGGCATGAGGGAAAATAGGAAAGACAAGGATTCTCAGCTAAGATAGCAAGGGGAGCTTTGGGTGAAATTAGGCTTTTAGAAAGCAGGGTTTGGAATTACGGTTGGCAAGTTTCTCTTAAATTCACAACGTCACTGTAACGATCCACAAAAAGCTTGTCAATGGCACCAATTTTCTTTCGAAGTAATCAGATTTTCCAGAGGGGAATGTAGAGAGTAGTTGTGTTTGTTGATGCATTGGCAAAGTCCAGAAGGAAGGGGTTCAAGAGGTATTAAGAGAAGTAAAAAATAACAAGTCTAAAATGGCAGCCTAAAGTTTCACATAAATAAACACAGTGGAGGTTCAGGTTACATAAATGTAACAAACATTAATTGAGTTAGAAACTGATGTTTTGGACAGGATGATATTGGAGGTTGCAGCATTAAAGTCAGAAGACACTAACTGGCTAAAGGGAAGGAAACAAGAGATGTGGATTATTCAGGGGTTGGGGAATGGTATTGAGTGGGATGCTGGGAGTCTGTGCTGACTGTTATTCCTAATGCACACAATGAGCTAGAATTGCAGTCTCACTGCAAAATTGTTAGGTTTGCACAAGGCATTAATCCAGGACACATTGAGTACTTACAGGAAACAGCCAGAATCATACAAAAGGCTAAATAATGGCTTCCCTCCAATAGCAAATCACAATCAGCACAAGGAAACATATATTTTGAGTAAAAATGGATGGTGTGTGTCCTCTGTCTGTGGGAGAGAGCTTAGTAAAGGGAACTGAAAGAAATATTGCAACTGTTTGCTGGTTCAGCTTTCAACATATCCAAAAAGTATGAGGTAACAGCAAAAAAGTGAATAAGGTATTGGATAACAAATGACTTCTTCTGATATCCACAGGCATGGGAGACATGGCAGTGTCTAATTCTATAGGAAGCAATGTCTTTGACATCTTGATGGGACTTGGTCTACCCTGGACTATAAAAACAATTGCAGTGAATTACGGCTCATATGTAAGTCTTCAGCTGAACTCCTGCGCAGTTATTGAGTGTAAACATGTTGCGTTCTGGGCATACATGCAAGGTGCCAGACTCCAGTCTTCACCTCTTTAGCCTGACTTTATTTACCGTTCAACTTTCTGAAGTGATGCATAACACCCAAAATGTAGTATTTGTTTTTTTCAATTCCCTGACACTGCACTAAATGTGCCAGTCTCCCCGCTTCCTGACTCATAACTCAATCCAACAGTTCACACAGTGGACTGCCAATGCTTGACAATTAAAGCTGGCTTTGGCAATGATCCTCCTATTCCAACAGACTCTTTTCATTTCTACCATTGCAAAACTACAGGGGCTGCTTTTGACCTGAATGTCTTTTCTTCCGTTAACACCTTAAACGTCAAAATCCCACTATTGCACCATATAACCCCCACTTAATCATTTTGCTGTTCCTCCATTTTTAATAATTTTGGATTGTCGGTTGCAACCAAAGATTACTGAAGATGGCAGACGAGGGAAATTGAGCCACCATGGAAATCCATTCAGAGCCATTTATGTTTGATTTATTCAAGCACGACACATTTAGAGGTGAATAGTTAAAGGGGACTGAGACAGTACAGATCTCCCAAATCCCCCTTTCTTTGCTGCCCGTTCCCAAACCAGAGACACAGAATATCATAGAACATAGAACATAGAACATTACAGCGCAGTACAGGCCCTTCGGCCCTCGATTTTGCGCCGACCTGTGAAACCAATCTGAAGCCCATCTAATCTAAACTATTCCATTATCATCCATATGTTTATCCAATGACCATTTAAATGCCCTTAAAGTGGGCGAGTCTACTATTTTTGCAGGCAGGGCATTCCATGCCCTTACTACTCTCTGAGTAAAGAACCTACCTCTGACATCTGTCCTATATCTATCAGCCCTCAATTTAAAGCTATGTCCCCTCGTGCTAGCCATCACCATCCGAGGAAAAAGGCTCCCACTGTCCACCCTATCTAATCCTCTGATCATCTTGTATATCTCTATCAAGTCACCTCTTAACCTTCTTCTCTCTAATGAAAACAGCCTCAAGACCCTCAGCCTTTCCTCATAAGACCTTCCCTCCATACCAGGCAACATGGTCGTAAATCTCCTATCATTATTTCACAACTGTCTGGACACCCCCACTGGTCACTAAAACTAACGAAGACTTTCCAATTAGCACTGGTTCCCTTGGCAGCCCCACCAAGATACTAACCAGCAGTTCACTTGCACAGACAGTTGAGGACATCTTTGACCAGATCTGCAAAGCTGTGAACCAAGCTCTCAAAAAACTGCAGTGTAGCCAGGGCTACAGACCCATCAAAAGATAGGTTAGACAAACACAGCGTAATCACTAGACAAAAAAAAACCGAAAGAACTGCGAATGCTGGAAATCTGAAGCAGAAACAGAAATTGCTGGAGAATCTCAGCATCAATGGAGAGCAACCAATCAATCAACATTTTGGATCCAGTCACCCTTCCTCAGAACAGACGTAAGCACTGGCCATTGGAAAATCCAGGGCAGGTAATCATTTCTGCAGTGTAGTTGGAGGGAAACTTAACACAGTAGACACCGAAGGAAGTGTCCAGGATATTGAAGATTCCACTGGCCAATTCCCCTGAACCATGAACACTCCGAAATTATCCATTTCAATCAGAGGGTTCCACTGCAGTTAAATAAACATTCACCCCAGAAATGTTTTACTGTTTAAAACCTAGCTTAATCCCTAGGTAACTATTAAACTGATCCTGAACTTGTCACACCAGCACCTTACAAGCACCAGACCCTGACACACCCCTGCTTCACAACCCTGGACCCAACTCTGTTTTTTCCCTTCACAGATGCTGCCAGACCTGCTGAGCTTTTCCAGCAACTTTGTTTTTGTCCCCAACACCCACTGTCAGTTCTGTACAACTCCTGCTACCAGACCTGACACCTTGCACCCTACTTACCTTGTACCCTACCCATCTAGCACCCTACACTCCTGGCACCCTGACCTCACAGTTAAGTAGTTCACCTTCCAAGGAGCTGTCAAAGTGGCTGTCTGTGATGTCGGATATTTACATCGCAGATTACGTCAACTGATGCCGTCAAAACGGAGACTTGGTTTGACTTTCCCTGACTATCCTGCCCTTCGAGGGACCTGTCAGATTTATAGCACGCTGTGCAGTTCTGAAGGAACCCTGATTGGAATCTCCTGTCAGAAATGCAGATCTCTTTCTCAACATAAAAGAAAAGTAGGTAGCCACTGCTTGAAAAATGAACCCATTATATCCATCTGGATTGCTACTGGGACATGGTATATAACGCAAACTGATTACTGTTGTGAATATTACAATATTGAGGTGACCCCTGTAGGAATGGCATGCCCAGCAGTTCCATTGTGTCCAGGAATAAGAGATGTCTATTCTTTCATTATCACCGTCATAAACGCAAATAACAATAAAGCAAAAATGCTGTATAATGTCAAGGCTGGGAGTGTCCTTGATTGTAGGTATTGGTTTCTAAGGATAGAGATCCTTCTGATGCTGCAGTGTTTCTTACCAATGGCTTTAGGACAGGATGACATTAAGCCTCATTGAGATTACTCCCCACACCCATGTCAAGCAGCATGCTAACACTTACTGTCCAAGCTCATCCAGTAAGAATATGCCAATAGCCAGGGAAACTCATGTTCTGTGCAAATACAAGTCATTGCCGTAGATCTTCCAACATCTGAGGATCTTGAAAAATATTTTGTATGTAGAGAGCACTAATTGAAAAATCATGAGTAATTGCTTCCCTGATCCACTGATACATGGCTTGAGAACAGCTGTCCCATTATCCTTGAGACTCCAAGGGAGGTTGCAGTGTAAGAACAAGGAAAGCAACAGTTTAGTTGATGAGCTGGAGACTAAAGCTCAATGTTTACATCTCGCAGCACATTTTAATCAGCAGAAGTCAGTTTGGAATATGAACACTGCACTTTTCTATAACGGACATAAAATATTCTCTTTATCTTTCTTTAGTTAGCGTTGAACAGCCGGGGCCTTGTCTATTCGGTGGGATTGCTGCTGGCTTCTGTTTTCGTAACGGTAAGTATTGGACCCATGTCATTGCCAGTGCGCTGCCCAGTCTGATGCCATTGCTGAGCCAGTGATAAATTATCCTTGGGGTTGGTCCAATGTTGTTCCCATAACTCAGTCCATGGCCGTATGTTATGAACCTCATCACCTCTGGCTTTGTTGATTTTCTGTAAGAGGCAAATGTTGTATTTTGAGTTTGCGAGAACAATGTTTCCTCATGCCTGCATTATTTTCCACATACCCTTTTGTGCATTATAAAAACTTACAGCTTCACTTCCTTCTTACGGGACCTTCTCTTTCACTTGGCACCCTTCACACAAAATCTGCTTTCCTCCCTTTTCTCAGGTTGACTTAAAGTGCCTTCAACTAAATGGAGATACTATTTCAACCAATCTGCGTTGAAATCATGGCCAACATGAGTTAAATCCAATCCACATGCGCAGTAATTCAAATTAACTGGCTAACTTTATACAATCTTCATCATTCACCTTCTGGTCTGTGACTGTCTGCAAACAGACATTTTATTCCAGATAAGCCTTTCTCAAGGACTTGAAAACAGAATGTTATCTCACCAGTGAGACTAAGAAAAGAAATCCCTTTCTTTACTTGTACTGTATGTCCTGCCTGTTAAGAAAACTGCAGCAACAGTTTGCGCTATAATGACATGAAGGAATTTGATAATGTTATGCTGCAAAAGCTTGATTGCTTCCAGCAGCATGTCAGTGTGATTGTAAATTTTAAGTGGATGGACATTAGCCACTGGAGCCTCTGATCATGTCTAACTGTTAGAATGTCCACACCAAGTATAAATCCTTTGGAAGAATGCTATTGATGCTTCACTGTCACCAAACCCTGGTCGCTTTGTGACCTTGAAAGCTTTTAAACTCTTTGTCTTCATGCTTGAAATTGCAAAACTAAAATCAGGTGGTGTTTCAGCCACTATGTAAAAAATAATTGACCTTATTTTTTATTTCAACGGCGGTTCCTGTCTGTAAACCTATAACCATCCTTCAGCTGAGCAGTCAGTTGTGATCACTCCAGAAGTTACCAAACATCTGTCTTGGAAAAGTACTGTTAATTCACCTGGGGTCGAATTTATTCTTAGATATCTCATTTTAAAACCTGTCATTCCGAAATTAATGGATTGCAAGCGTGTTCTTTCATTCTTCTTGTAAAAATTTCACCCATCTGATTTTAGGTCTTTAAGGACCTCTCACCTACCAACAATTATTTATCGAGTAACTCGTCCATGCCAACCAGATATTCTAAATTAACGTGGTCGCGTTTGCCAGCATTTGGCCCATATCCCTCTAAACCCTCATGTACCATCCAAATGCCTTTAAAATGTTGTAACTGTACTCCACCACTTCCTCTGGCAGTTCATTCAATACACGCAGCACCCTCTGCATGAAAAAGTTGCCCGTTAGGTCCCTTTTAATTCTTTACCCTCTCTCTTTAAAGCTGTGTCCTCTAGTTTTCAACTCCCCTACCCTGAGGAAAAGACCTTGGCTACTTACCCTATCCATGCTCCTCATTATTTTATAAACTTCTATAAGATCACCTCTGATGCTCCAAGGAAAATAGCCCCAGCCTATTCAGCCTCTCCCTATAGCTCTCACCCTCCAACCCTAGCAACATCCTTGTAAATCTTTTCTGAACCCTTTCAAGTTTCACAACATCTTTCCTACAGCAGGGAGACCAGAACTGAACACAGTATTCCAAAAGTGGCCTTACCAATGGGCTGTACAGCGGCAATGTGCACTGACCAATAAAAGCAACCATACCAAACACCTTCTTCACTATCCTGTCTACCTGCGACTCCATTTTCAAGGAACTATGAGCCTGCACTCCAAGGTCTCTTTGTTCCACAACACTCCCCAGGACTTTACCATTAAGTGTGTAAGTCCTGCCCTGGTTTGCCTTTCCAAAATGCAGCCCCTCCCGTTTATCTAAATTAAAATCCATCAGCCACTCCTCGGCCCATTGGCCCATCTGATCACGGCCCCGTTGTACTCTGAGATAACCTTCTTTGCTGTCCACTACACCTCCAATTTTGTGTATTTGTGTATTGTTAATATTGGGGGTGCGTATATTTATACTTCCGGCTCACAAAGTTTCTTCACATCAAATGTGCCATACCAGCTCTTCACAGCCAGTCCAGTCTATATACTACTGCTCACTGCTGCTTGGGAGAATAATTATCTCTACACTATAGTGATCAATGTTCACAGACTTGACCATGACCTTAAACATGTCCATGTTTAGAGTTTTGAGTTAGGCTCAGCTGTGACATCCTTTGATCTTTGTTCCAAGTGAAGCAGCTTGTTGAGGATGAGCAGGCAGTGTGTTTGGAGACGAGACTGTTGCATTGTCCTGCTGTTGACAGGGGCCCCACATCTTCAGGTCAGGAGCAAAGCAAACAGGAAAGAAGGTGCCTCATTAATACACAGCAAATGTAGCATCCTGCTAAACTCTCAATGCACAACAAGATTTCGGTTAGGGTATCAGGATAACTAAAGTTGAGGTGTAGATCAGCCATGATCTAAGTGAATGTAGAGGAGGATCAAGGCACTAAATCTCCAATTCTTCTTCCTTTGTCCTAACTTGAATTTTTATTCATTCGTGGGACGAGGGCATTGCTGCGTCAGCCAGCATTTATTGCCCATCCCAGAGGGTAGTTAATTGTCAACCACATTTGGATCTTGGGTCACATGTAGGCCAGACCAGGTAAGGATGGCAGTTTCCTTCTCTAAAGGACATTAGTGAATCAGATGGGCTTTTCCTCAAGCAATCGATAATGGACTCATAATCATCATCAGACTATTAATTCCAGAGTTTTTTATTGAATTCAAATTCCCCCATCTGCCTTGGCATGATTCAAACCCAGGCCCTCAGAATGTTACCTGGGCCTCTGGATTAACAGTCCAGCAATTATGACAGTGGGCTGTCACCTCCCCCAGTTGTTTGAGCCCTAAATTGTACAGACAGTAATCAGAGGAATATAAATTACTGAGGATTGCATTGTTTAAAAGAAACTCTAAAATCTGTTTTGTTGTTTTCTCCGTAGGTGGTTGGTGTTCATTTGAACAAATGGAAACTAGACAAGAAGCTCGGGTGTATGTCCCTGTTCCTGTACGCTGTTTTTCTGTGCTTCTCTATCATGACGGAGTTCAATGTTTTCACCTTTGTGAACCTCCCCATGTGTCGGGAGCACTGATGTACAATGAAGATAACCTGGGAGCAAGCACCTTGGTATCAGTGCAATACAAAAAAAACAATACAAAGAGCTGAAGGCCCCTGGCTTATTGTTGGCTGCATGGAGCCACTCTCACTGACAGCTTGGGACACGACATATTTTTGAGAGAAAAAAAAATCACCTGTATTGATGTGAAACGTATTTTTAATGTATTTATGTGGAGTCATACATACAAACACACAGACGCACACACACACACACACACGCACACACATATATACACACACAAAACTATCTGATTTCGTTGGCTGCTAATCAACGTAAGGCTGGATGATGTACCTGCCACGTTTGTATATCCTCAGTTGTAACAGAAAAAAGATATTTTGCCCTGAGATGGTTGAGTGGGACTGAAACAGATTTAGTGGTAAATTGCTTTTGAAGCGAATAAGGTGTACCTGGAAGCAAGGGATCATAGTGCCCTGTGATTTTACCTCTTACTTTCTTCCCCTCCACATCCCCAATCTCCATTTCCCCACTTCGCCCTTTCCACAGAGAGCTTGAATACCAAGAATGTACATATCGACGAGAGTCACCTTATCTTTCTGCTCACCAGCTATTCCTACTGCTAAAAGGAAAGTGGAATTTAAGCTCTGAGCCATGGCCTTCATGCAGAGTCTGAGATGTGAAATTTGAAATCTCAATACTCACTGCAGTTTGTACCCAGATACTACTCCCTCCTGACAAGACTGATTTTTCCGGGAGGTATATTTGCACGAAACTATTTTATTTTGTAGTTGGAACAGTTGCATAGTCAATGGTACATGTGTGTATATTGATGGTATAAAAATGTATATATTGGGAATTTTTTTTTCTTTTCAACACTGTAGAGTATATAAGATATTATAATTATTATCACAGTTTTACCCGGCTGCACGGTTTTAGATTTGGAAATATTGATTAAGGTACAAATGGTGCAGCTGAAGAAGCAAAGATGCTCTAGTTTTTGTTTGTACAGGTAGTTTTAAGAATAAAGCATGTTTAATTTATATATTTATAAAACAGCACAGGAAGCCACTTTGCAGTTTCACAGCGCATTTTTACAGGGATATTTGACAGCTCTGTGCACACCTGCATGCTCAACCTCCCCGTCCCCCCCAACCCCCCACCCCCACTCACCCCCTTTCCAGCCCGGCCTTAGTGTACTGTCTTCTTCTGCTTATTTTCCACTTCTTATACGGAGAAGAATGACCATGATGAAGAAGACTGTTGAGTTTGACTATTGCTGTAGTTAATAAATTTGTAGATGAATTTGCTACAAAATGGCTCCACCAAACTGATTGTAGTTAGGTGTCTCGATTTAAATGTAACTGGTTCCTTTGTTTTTAACGTGATTACCGAATCCCCAAGTTATGATCTGAAAGGGGGTGAATTGTTGTATAATGTATCTCACCTCACCGAAGTTTACAAGCCAACACCTACTGCTACAGAACAGTGTTAAGTCATATTTTCATTAAGAACGTGACTTTCTTTTTGCTCTGGAGATACAATGCATCAGAATTTAATGCACTTCAGATTTTTCATAGCCATTAGGTTTCAGAGATTGTCACGAGTAATGTATATGGATTTACTCACCAGCTACATGGACTGTGTTATTGTTATTACTCAGTCCTATTCTCCTTGTGCTGAGATTTCAGTAAATACCTTTACAGCAGTCATGTGTTTTCATGTCTTTCCTTCGCACTCTGTCATCAATTCTCAGATCAGAATTTGAAGAACAAGTTGATTTTTTTACAGCAAATTCTTGACCCTTCCCACACCTCCCCATACCCCCACCATCACTCCTATGCAACCTGCTCCCAACATAGGATCTCTGTGCAAAAGGAAAGCTTAAGATGAAACTGTATGGCTAGCTTGCTAGGAAATTAAAATGACCAACCTATTGAACATGTGGACTTGGTATGTAAAATTAATGGCAGAATACACCACGCTTTCGATTTGTATAATTATTTACATCCATCAACGAATTGCTGCAGTAATTTTTTTTCCAGTTCCATAGAGCTTTACTGGTCTTGAGAATGGCATCTGTTGCTTTATGTATGTGTGTCAACTTTAGTCAGTAAACTGCAACCAGAATTTCACCCCTGAATTTTTGGCCAGAGTAAATATTTAGTGGCTGTCTTTTGCAAAATAAATCAACACAGTGTGATTGCCTCTTGAATTGTGATATATCTGTTTGGACAGTGCCTGTGGTGTGTAATCAGCAACAGTTTTTTTCTTTGAGGCTGTTCCAAGTTGCTCAGCATTATTCAACCACATGGCGTTGAGTCAACCAAAGTTTCAATTCGATTGGGAGAGTCGTTTACTGAGGTGATCTCATTATGTGAAAAGGACATGAATGAAATGTGGAGCTGTTGGCTTAGTGTGAATGGCCAGGCAATTGTTTTGGCACCGTAGTCAAACAATAATGGCACAAGGCTACTTTGGTACTGTCGGGGAAATGACGCAGTTCTATTTGTAGTTGAAGACCACTACAAGCCTGAAATAACTCCACGGAGGCTGGTATCCTGTCGCCAAGTCGTCCTTTATTCAAGCGTGCACAGTATGTGGACTCTGACCAGCTAGCTCAGACCCAGTCCCTAGAGTGAGGAGAAACCCTGAGACTCCTGGTTATATCTGTTGGCCAGGGCTCCCTCATTGGCCCCGGTTAACAGCCCCAATCAGGTTGGTTCTGGAGTTGAGAGGGTTGGCTTACGAGGAGAGATTGAGTAGACTGGGACTGTACCCATTGGAATTTAGAAGAAAGAAGGTGGGATCTTATAGAAACATGTAAAATTATAAAGGGAATAGATAAGGTAGAAACAGGGAGGCTTGTTTCCACTGATGGGTGAAACTAGATCTAGGGGGCATAACCTCAAAATAAGGGGGAGCAGCTTTAGAACTGAGTTGAGGAGGAACTTCTTCACCCAAAGGGTTGTGAATCTGTGGAATTCCCTGCCCAGTGAAGCAGTTGAGGCTTCCTCATTGAATGTTTTTAAGGCAAATATAGATAGACTTTTGAACAGTAAAGGAATTAAAGGTTATGGTGAGCGGGCGGGTAAGTGGAGCTAAATCTATGAAAAGATCAGCCATGATCTTATTGAATGGCGGGGCAGGTTCAATGGGACAGATGGCCTACTCCTGGTCCTGGTTCTTATGTTTTTATGTTCTAACTCATACTCAATGAGATCCAACTGGCCAGCTTCATTCCAATCACTACAAAACCAAAGTTATAAAAAACTTTTAAAAAAGAAATTCAGTCTATGCCATAAAACATGCTATTAGCATTTTCATATTGTTGCAAATTGTGATTGTAAAGTTTAGAGTGAGATTCTGCACTGTGATTAGTATTTAGTTTCTGGAAACTTTGTAAAACTTATTTTTAGTAGCAATGTTCCATTTCGTAACTGCCCTTCCGGGGATAGACAAGAGCTGCACTGGTGAATCAGCCTGGTTTTCCCTTATTTCAAAGTCTTTCTGTAAGACCCAGTGGCAATTCACTGGTCTGGAGAGTTGTGGTTACTGATCACCCAACTGATGCTATTCATTTGGAAAGTATTTCTGCTTTCTGTATGGCTCCAAATGTCATAGTCTTGTTTGTTCAATTGCAGTAGATTCTAATAAAAGGAAAGTAAGAAGATATGCAAAAACAAAAATAAGATTCTGGAGGAAATCAGCAGGTCTAGCAGCAACCGAGGAGAGAAACAGAGGAAACATTTCAAATTCAATACGACGCAGGCAAATGGGACGAGTTTAGTTTGGGACAAGTTGGACTGAAAGGCCTGCTTCCATGCTGTATGACTCTATAGAATGATGGTTTTTATGCTGTTGACAAATGAGGAGAAACAGTGAGTGGAATGGGTGAGGGTGCCCAGAGGAAAAACATGCTAAATGGTGTAATAATGGTAGTAAAAAGCTAAAGTCACCATAGCCTTGCCAAACCACACGGCTGCTATCAGAGACAGACAACTGGTGGTGGTTTAATCTTAAGGGCCACCACAGACCAGGCAAGGGAGCAGTTGAGAAGTCGAGCCCTTCATAGTAAAAGCGTCTCTACCAACTGTAGTTTTACTGAAATTACTTTACAACAGAATCAATTTCTGCATCTCTCTGTCATGAAGGAGAACGGACTGAATAAACTGATGTTTAATGAATATTGTGTTATGCACAACATTACTAAATCTAAATGGTCAACAATATCAACAAAGAATCCCTACAGTGTGGAAACAGGCCATTCGGCCCATGGAGGCCACCCGGCCCTCCGAAGACTATCCCACCTAGACCCATTCCCCCTACAGAATCCCTGTAACCCTGCATTTTTCCATGGTTGATCCAGCCACCCAGCACATCCCTGCGCACTATGGGGCAATTTAGCACGGCCAATCCACCCTAGCCTGCACATCTTTGGACTGTGGGAGGAAACCGGAGCACCTGAAGGAAACCCACGCAGACACAGGGAGAACATGAAAACTCCACACAGTCACCCAAGGCTGGAATCAAACCTGGGTTCCTGGTGCTGTGAGGCAGCAGTGCTAAGAGTTGGTAGAGATGCATTTGTCAAGCTATGAAAATTAATAAGAGGAGCATTGCTTTCAGATATCCCATCAGTGTCGACATATAAGATTTCAAAGTTGACCTGTAGAAAGAACCCTGTTAAAATCACTTGTTGCAACTCAAGGTGTTCAGTGGAAGCTTTCACCTTGTGCAAAGATACAGGATTAGTTTCAAAGGTTTGTAAGAAGTTACAAGGCACTAGATGGGCCACAGCTGGAATACTGTGAACAGTTTTGATCCCCTTATCTAAGGAAAGATACACTGCCATTGGAGGCACTCTACAGAAGGCCCACTAGGCTGACACAACATGGACAGCCTGCCTCCTGAGGAGAGGTTGTTTAGATTAGGCCTATACTTATTGGAAGTCAGAAGAATGAGGGGCAACTTCATTGAAACATACAAGATACTTAGAGGACTTGACAGCATAGATGTGGAAAGGTTGCTTCCCCTTGCGGGAGAATCTAGAGGGTTTCATCTCAAAATAAGGCATCGCACATTTGAGACAGAGATGAGAAATTTCTTCTTTCAGAGGATATGAATCTGTGGAATTCTTTACTGCTGAGGGCAGTCAAGGTTGGGTTGTGAAGTGTATTCAAGGCTGAGAGTGACTGATTTGTAATCAGTAAGGGAATTAAGGCTTATGGGGAAAAGGCAGGAAAATGGATTTAAGGTTGATCAGATCAGCTGTGATCGCATTGAATGGCAGAGCAGATGGATGGGCTGAACGGCCGAGTTATACTCCTATGTCTTATGATTTTAAGAACCCAACAGGACAACTTTGAATAGAATAATCATTGAGGCCTCTCATAACCTAATAAAAGAAAAGTGACTGAACTTGTGCTAAATGTACAGATTCGGTTTCTCCAGTTTAGAGATTGACTTTTAGTTCTATTTTCTGCAGAGACACTCTACAGTATCTAGGATCGAAGACAGTAAATATAAGTGAAAGAACAGTGGAGATGCCTTGAAATGAAAACGAACTTGATAATCAAGTATCTTCAATGTTGTGTTTTCTGCTTCCCGTTAAGAAGTAATCCCAAAATGACTCAAAACACAAGAATTTGATTGAAGAGGGTATCTTCCTGCTTTCCATGTAGCTGCTGGACTGAGAGACTGTTATGTTGTTGCTCAGCACCCATCTCCAGTGCAGCAGTGAAATGTGACACCCCAGGAGGTATACTCACACAGCAATTACTTTCTAGCTCAATTTAATAATACAGCAGGCAGAAATGACTGTCCAGTTATTTTAATACAACAGGTTCTTGGCTGACTTCAAATGCTTGCTTTATACTAATTTCTCTCGCATGATTCCTATTCTGGGGCACCCTGCACCTGTTTCTGACATAGCTCTAGATTCATAGGAAAGGGCTTAGGAAAAGGTAATATTGTTATAATCTATTATTCAGGCATTAGTTGTTAGAATTGCATTTGAGAAGGGAATGCTTTTGTTCTCTGTTCCTAGACTCACTCCGACAGAAGGGTTTAGGTAAGATGTAAAGCAACCTATAAGATGTAGAAAGGGCAGTAAGCCATTCAGCCCCATTCAATGAGATAATGGCTTTAGAGTGGGAAGATAGTGGCATAGTGATAATGTTAATAGACATAATTTAACCTATTTCTCTGATCAACCCATTCAGATATGTTATTACATATCTCTGGAACAGGTGGAACTTGAACGTGGGCCTCTCAGTCCAGAGATAGGGACTGTACCACCGTGCCATAACAGAGTCCCCATACCGCACCATGGCAGCCTGCAGAGTTTAAGTTCACTTAATGAAATCTGGCATTGAAGGCTCCTCATAGTTATGGTAACCATGGTGCAATCATCATCGGTTGTTTTAAAGAAAAGCGCCTGATTCACTATGTCATTAAAGGAAGAAAATCCATCATTCCTCCCAATCTGACTTAGACACAACTCCAAACTCACAGCAAAGTGACTGATGCTGCCTGAAACGGCCCTAGTTCCAGACAAATATGATCAGAAACAAATGTCAGTGATGTCCACACTCCTTGAAAGAATAAAAAAAACTGCACTGTTATGTTTGTGGTTTCTTTCCCCCCAAAAGAATTGAGCATTCCCTGCTCTCAAAGGGACCGAAGACCTCTCCATCAATTTTTTTTTATGTTTTGTGATCAATTACTGGAACAACTTGGAGCAGTGCAAGCTAAGGCTGTTCATTGGAATTGATGATGGCTGCTTAGCCAAGCAACAGCGGAATCTGCTGCTGGACATTAGTGTCCCTCAGCACCACCTTCAGTAATACTTTGCTAGTAAACTCGAATTATATGAACAGCTACTCTAATTCACTGGGGCCTTTGTGTTTTGTGGGACTGGGTGTTTAGCTGCTGGTTAGTGTCTGCGTTACTCTGACAGCATGTGTGAGTGATGAAATGTTACCTAGTTAAAACCTGTCAGACCCAGCTAATATTTGGACAGTTTGGCCAACCTTTCTGAACGCATCCTCCTATTGTATCCTTTTACCCGTTGACTGCACGCATTAGAAAATCAGGAAAATGAGGAGCAGAATATTTTGGAATGCCTCAGGACTTTCCTAATGAGATCTCCTGGCTCCAAAGCTTTGTGCTGGAGTGCAGCAGATGTGGTTGGACACTTTATTTTT